AAAATAGAATCACTCCATATTTGTTTCTATTCCAAAGAAAGGTGACCCAGCAGAATGTAGAAATCATCAAACAGTGTCATTAATATCACATACAAGTAAAATTTTGCTGAAGATAATTTAAAAAAATGATTGCAGCAATACATCAACCAGAAATTCAAGCTGGATTTAGAATAGGACATGGAACAAGGGATATCATTGCTGATGCCAGATGAATCTTGACTGAAAGCAGAGAATGCCAACAAGATGTTTATGTTTTATTGACTATGCAAAGGCATTCGACTATGTGGATCATAATGAACTATGTGCAGATTGGGTAGCCCAGAGCTCTTAATTGTACTTGTGAGGAACCTACCTGTACATAGACCAAGAGGCAGTCATTAGAAGAGAACAAGATGGATACTGAAAGGTTTAAAATTAGGAAAGGTGTCAGGGTTCTATCCTTTCACCATACTTATTTGATCTGTATGCTGAGCAAATAATCTGAGAAGTTGGATTATACAAAAAAGAACATGGCATCAGGATTGAAGGAAAACTCATTAACAACCTGTGATATATGATACAACCTGTAGATGATACAACCTTGCTTGCTGGAAGTGAAAAGAATTAAAAATAGTGATGAAGATCAAAGAATGCAGCTTTCAGCATGGATTGCACATTAATAGAAAGAAAACAAAGATCTTGACAACTGGGCTAATAAATAACATCATGGTAAATGGAGAAAAGATTAAAGTGGTCAAAAACTTCATTTTGCTTAGCTCCACAATCAACAATCATGGAAGCAGCAGTTAAGAAATCAATGATGTATTTCATTAGGCAAATCTGCCACAAAAAATCTTTTTACAGTGTTAAAAAGCAAAGATGTCACTTTGAGGATTAATGTGCTCCTACCCCAAGCCATGGTATTCTCAGTCACTTCATATGCATGTGAAAATTGGACAAAAAATCAGGAAGACCATAGAAGAATCAATGCATTTGAATTATGGTGTTGGTGAAGAATACTGGAAGTACAATAGACTGACAAAAGAACAAACAAATCTGTCTTGGAAAAAGTACATCCAGAATGCTCCTTAGAAGGAGGATGGGAACACTTCATCTCTCATTCTTTGGACTTGTTCTCAGGGGGATATCAGTCCCTGGAAAAGGACACATCATGCTTGAGAAAGTGGAGAGTCTGTGAAAAAGAGGAAAACACTCAATGAAATGGATTGACAGAGTGGCAGCGACAATAGGCTCAAATATAACAACAGTTGTGAGGATGGTGTAGGACCTGGCAAAGTTTCCTTCTGTTATGCATAGGGTCACTGTGAGTTGTAACTGACTTGATGACACCTAACAACACTTCTTTCAAGGCAGATTTGTTTGTTCTTTTCGTAATTGTTCGTTTGGCATATTCAAAATTCTTTGTCAATACCATAATTTAAATTCATTCATTTTTTTTCAGTCTTCTGTTCACATGCACATACCATCATTGTTGTTGTTAGGTGCCCTCAAGTCGGTACCGACTCATAACAACTCTTTGAACAACAGAACGAAACACTGTCCAATCCCAGGCCAACCTCACAATTGTTGCTACATTTGAACCCACTGATGCTATCACTGTGCCAATCCATCTTATTGGGGGGTCTTCCTCTTTTTCTCTGATCCTCCACTGGTCCTTCCTGACATCATTACTTTTATGGAATTTAAGATTTTATAAAAGAAGTGAAATTGAAGGCAGGTGAGAAATATAAAAGCACTGAGTTATGTTCAGTGTGATGTACTGGTGATTCAGTGGTAGGATTCTTGCCCTCCATGTGAAAAGACCCAGGTTCAATTCCTGACCAATGTATCTCATGCATAGCCACTATCCATTTATCAGTGGGAGCTGTGTGTTGCTATGACACTGATCAGGTTTCAACAGAGCTTCCAGAGTAAGATAAGACTAGGAAGAAAGCCTGGTGCTCTACTTCGAAGAATCAGCCAATGAAAACCCTGTGGATCGCAACAGGCGGATCCTCAACTAATCCTGGAGTTGGCACGGGACCTGGCAATGTCCCTTTGTTTGTGGGTCCCCATGAGTTGCGAGGTCAACAGGCATCTAACAGTTAAGTTCACTAAACAAATGAAGATCATAAGACATATAAATGTTTTTATAAGTTAGTATCAGTAAGAATAAGTTGATATACTTAAATGCATCATCCTTTGTTCCTTTAAAAAAATAATAATAATAATACTTTTCAGGACTATATTTACCCGCAGTTTGAACAGAATGCTTGCAAATTGACTTTTTTTGCCTCTAATATTCTCACTCTAGGACATTTATTTCATGTGTCTGGCTCTCCCCAAATATTTTTTTGTTATGATTTTAAGAGATTTCAGCTTCCATCTCCTAGATTCTCCTCCTAGATTCTGTTCTTTTCCTAAGAGGCAGACTAACTTGGAAGGTTAGAATGGAAGAGCTTTGGGTAATACTCATATGTGCTGAACCTATTCAGTCCTGCTTAAATCCCCTCTTTAATACCTACACCCCACTGCTATTAAATGGGTTCCAACTCATAACGACCCTATGACACTGGATTTCTGAGACTATTAAATCTTGACAGGAGCAGACAGTCTTGTCTTTCTCCTGCAGAGTGGTTGGTGAATTTCTGACCAAACTGCTACCCTTACAGTTAGCAGGTCACTGCAGATCTTACAGTGCCACTAGGGCTCCTTTATTGCCTGGCGGTGGTGGTGATGTGTGTCAAGTCGATTCCAACTCATAGCGACCCTGTACAGGGTTTCCAAGACTGTGAATCTTTATGGGAGCAAAAAGCCTCATCTTTCTCCCGCAGAAAGCTGGCAGTTTTGAACTGCTGACCTTAAGGTTTGCAGCCCGATTCTTAACTAACACACTACCAGAGCTCCGTTTTATTGCCTAAAGGTATCCAAATATGACCCTAATTTCCTTGTACCAGATGCCTCTTAGCCTTCTCCACATCTATATATGCTCATTTTTCTTTGTCTTATTCTTTACCCCAAGGATACTTAAAAACAAAAACTTGTATTTCTGCCTTCCAGTTTCTTCCCTTTCTTCTTTAGTTTTGGCCTTCAAAATACATTCCTTTTTTTTTTTTTTTTTTTGCCTCCAAAAAATCACCACCAGAATGATTCTGACTTCTGTCATCTAGAACGTCATGCACTGCTCTTCCTTGGATGGTTGGGAAGATATTATTACACTTCCCTTTGCATTCCTAAAACCCAAGCACACAATTAAGAAATTTAGGAAATCAAGTTCTTATTTTAGGAAAGGAACAGAATCTATAGAATATAGGAAATAAAAGAGAACAATCTGAAAAGAAATTAAATCAGTGAAAAGCACTGTTATTTTCCATTCCTTTAGGTAGCATTTCTCCTTAAAAATAAAATTACTCTAAAAATACTGAATATGGAGGGAATAAATCAGGCAAACATTCATTTGGGGACACTTGTGCACTCCAAGACAATCCCCACTTTATTGAGGCTGTTGCTACTTATTAACGCCAAAGATGTTTTTTTTTTTTTTTCACAAGAGATGGGTGTTCTTTGCCTTTTTAGAATTAGAACTCAAGTCCTCCTGTGGAGTGGGGATTTTCTTGGCCACTACAACTTCATCTACAGTCAAAAGCTGTCTCACTACATCAGCTACCACTTTAAGTCCTTGAGACTTGGCCCTAAAGGTATCCCATACCTGCTCCTTGGCCACATCTATTACCCTTTCTGTACCCATTCCTATAAGGAAGTTCCCAGCTTGGTGAGCTCCATACATTTCTGCCATCACATTGGTAACAGCTAAGCCTGCATTCTCAGCCAAGGCTTCAGGAAGAGACATCAGGGCCTGGGCAAAGGCTAGGAAAGCAGGACCACCAGGCCCGTCCAGTTTGCTTCCTTTTTCTGAGAGGATTTTAGCCAGAGCCATCTCTGTAGCCCCAGCCCCCGGAAGTAGTCTGGGATCCTGGCACAGCTGGAAGTAGGCATCAATCCCTTGGTAAGCAGCCTGCTCTGTACCCCTTAGCCCCTCAGTTGTGGGCCCCCTGAGGATCAAGGTGAGAGCAGGTGTGTTTGGACAATCCCATTCAAATGCCACAGCCAAACTTTCTCCCACCTCCTGTCCATAGACCCTCTGGCACTTTCCTGGCACCAAGGGAGGAAGCAAATAAGGCAGCAAAGGTGTGCCCAACACCTCACTCAGGTGTGCCACCTCCCTCTTGGACTTGGCTTGAATCACCATGATTCCAAACCTATCGGCTTGTATTAGGGCCTTCTCATCGATTTCCCCCCACACCACCACTACATTAATATTCATAGCTGCCAGATGGGACACCTGCTCTTCTATCAATTGTTCACTTATTTTCCTGAATTTCATTAGGTCATCAGGACTAGAGAGACGGGCAGTTGCTGGAGCATTTGGACTGGCTGGGCCAAAGGGGCAGGCAAACAGAGCGATCCTGGCGCCTCGTAACACCACGGTTATTTGTCCGCAGGGTTTCCCGGCCACAGCCAGCCCTGGGAGCAGGCACGAGTCCTCCAGTGTGGCTCCGCGCAGTGTGCACACGCCGAGGCGCTCTGGGTTAAAGTGTCCATCTAGCTCCCTGGTGGCCCAGCATGCTTGAGCCACTAACCTGGTCAAGAAGCCCGTAGGGAACAGAGTGTGGGTATTCATCACAGAATAGAGGGCCCAAAAGGGGTCTTCCAAAGGACCCAGAGATCGGATCACCAAGGAGGGCAGTGTAGCCTGGACCTCCGTGGCGGCTGCTACATAGGCCTCCTGGAGCTGTGCGCGGGGCAGGCCAGCCCTCAGCAAGAGCTCGGCCTGCTCCAGCAGGGCTCCTGCCAGGAGGACCACGAAGGCAGTGCCATCGCCTCTGCTCTCAGCTTGGGTCTGGGCTGCTTCCCGGAGGAGCCAGGCGGCCGGATGTTCCAGCTCTAAGACTCTGAGGATGGCCGCGGTGTAGCCGGTGCAAACCGTCTCTCCTGTAGCAGTTACCAGCAATTTCTGGCGCCCATGGGGGCCATAGCAAGGCCGGATGACGTTGGCTAAGGTCTGGGCTGCCGCGGTGCTGCTCAGCACGTTCTTCTCTCGTACTCTGGGAGCCCAGGTGTCCTGCCTTGTGCTTTGGCTCAGTAGCTTGGGCAGCTCCAGGGCGGAGGGGTTTCTGGTATCCATTGCCTGTGGGCAGAAGAGAAACTACCATGGGCTTCTGTGGTGCTCTAGAAACAGCAGCTGGATACCCTGGACACTAACTAACAAGTCTTCGAAGCTGCTCATGAGTTCAATGGAAATAAGGAACCCAAAACCCATAAGCTGTGATCGGTGGACGTCAAGATAGGCCACGGCTCCGATTCAAGGCTTTGCTTCCAATCTGATGAGGGTTCATCCCGAAAGCACCATCAAAATAAAGTCTGTGAAGGATCCGGGCTCTTGGGCCCTCTGGATCCTGGGAGCTGAAATAGGATCTCTTGCGGACAGTCACACGGTGACAACTGGAACCAAGGTCATGGAATGAGGTCACAAAAGGAGCGTTAGAATGAATCAAGGTGGCCCTGCCTGCCCACAATAGAAGTTGGGCCTACTTGTCCTGCTTGTCCTGGTTGAGATACATAAACACCTATACCAGGCTCAAGAGTTTCTTTTAACCACCTGAAATAATAAGGAAATCAGGTGGAAATGCATATCCACTTCCATTCCTGGTGAAACGTGTGGCTGCTGCCATGTTATCTGTCTGCCTTTGAGTTTGGGGCCATCCTATCAGTTTGAGCCTGTTTTTCAGGTTCCTTACAGCGTCTGTTGGTATGTTTGTCTTTCAGGCTGCAGGTATGTACTGCTACCACTGTATATCAACTCTTCCAAATGCACAGACATCACTGAACTGGCTGGCAAAAGTAGGTCAAGACAGGGAGAGAAAGATGGCGGCAACCTACAGATGCACAAATGGAAGCAGACCCAGGAAACAAAAAAGGACAGGACACACAATTCTTATTGAGGGAGGTGAAGAGCAGAAGAGGTGGAAAACCAAACTGCATAGTTTATGCCCTGATGTCTACATGCTAATCTGCCTCCTGCCCTTACTCCTAACTCTTAGAATTTCCCTTTCTTACTTCATCCCTCTTTCACTCCCTTTTCTCCCTTCATCATATATAGAGAGACCCTATTGGGTAATGATTGCTCTTCCTTTAGGTTAACAAATATTTATTGAATACCACTATGTTCCGTGTAATGGACAATACAAAGATGATAGGAAATTAGACAGTAATGAGAGAAACAAATGTGTACCAAGTGACTCCAACTGTCTTGATGGGTGATAGGTAGGACACCAAGTAGAAATGATGCATTATCTATTAAGATCAGGAAGAAACCAGAGTAATACCATTAGAATCCTATATACTTTGTTTAATGATAGACACCCCAAACTGGAAATAGGATTCTGAAACTGACCACACAGTGAAAAACCAGGATAGTATGAGAATTGTTTTAATATTTCCACAGACAAGAGGTTATTGAGAAAGGAAAGGAAAAAAAAAAAAAATCACAGTGAAAGTTCAATATAATGAAGGCTAAGGGAAGATAATTTTGGAGGAAAAACTTTTTCTTTGAAAAATGACTGGATTGCTTTGCAAAACTGATAGCCATTCATTATAAAAATTAAGAAGAAAAATTAAAAAGAAGAATGTAAAGGTTACTTTGAATCCTAGCCCAGAAGTAACCATTGTTAACATTCTCAGGAGTATTGTTAGTTTACATATATTATATACATAGTTACAGATTTATATAGTTTTATATGTAGGTTATGTAATATATAATAATATATATAATATGATGCATCTTATATATCATCCTGTGATCATTTTCCCCTGAATATTATGCATTCTCTTAGATTCACAGAGAAATGTTTCTAAGGAGATATTTTCCTGAAGACCCTGGACAACTATTTTTGCCTTTTTTGATTTTGGAGACTCCATCAAATCCTCTCAAGTCCTGTAACACTGAGAAATGTTTTACTGAACAAATGTTTGTCACAGATGGCAAAAATGACTTGCCTGTATCACTTTCAAAGAAACGTAAAATATAATGATCAATATAAAATATGGCATGTTGTTGTTGTGTGCTGCCAAGTCAGTTCTGACTTAAAGCAACTATGTGTAGGATTTCTGGGAGGGACTGCTGGGTTTGAACTGGTGACCTTGAGGTACTAGTACAGTTCTTATCCTACAGCACCTCAAGGGCTCAAAATGTAATATAGTATGCATATATACATTGCCTATAAAGATTTAAAAAAATAAATCCGTATACAAAGTACTATTTCAGCTCTTTTCTAACACCATTTACCATATTTATTTCACTATTTCACAACTGTTTATTGAATATGCCTGGCACAGCACATTGCTAAAAGATAGGGTTAAGGAATGAATAAGGCAGTCACCGGTTGCTGTCTCCTTTGAACTTAGGCTGATAGATACACTGACAGGAAATCAGGCAATTTAATTACAAGCAATGAGAGCTGTGATTGGGAAGCACAAGGTGCTGTGGAGGCACCTAGGAGGATGCATAAAGCATTTCGTAGGTTAAGTTCTATGTCAACTTGGTGAGGCTATAATTCTCAGGGGTTTGGTAGACACTGTGTAATAACTTCCATCTTGTGATCTGATCACCAGTTAGTTGAAAGGGGAGTTTCCTTCAGAGTGTGACCTCCCTCCAATATATAAATGGTAAAGCTCTCT